AAGATAATATTAATTTAGAACTTCCCTAATAAAGGGGGCTTGAAAATGTCTTTAAGTGGGATAATAACGACTATTAGTTGTTAAATCGACTTAAGAGCTATAGAGCCAGTAAGTAATAGTCTGATTTTAATTACAAGAAGTGGGTTATTGATGTAGACAAATGCTCATGTACCCTTTTATCACTGGGTGTTTTATTACTGGGTGTAAGCCACAAATTTGTTTACCCTTTTACTCATTTTATGTATGTTATTACCAAAGAAGAAAACAAGCCAGTCAGTCACTCAATAGTGTCTGACAATGAAGTCTATCAAGTAAACGGTTTCCTTGCATAATTTGAATATTAGACACTGTTAATGTTTAAATTTCACAGATAGGATATACATGTATGTACATGACATCTTCATAATTCCTGCAGAGTTCTACAGAATTTGATGTTGGCTGCAAAAGGGACATAGTATCTTAAAAATGACGATCGAAAAGAAATTGTGCATTTTTTCTTAAATGTGTACGTAACTTTTACCCTCTGATTACTTCGAAAAAAAAACATTTGCAAACTAAACGTTTTAGATATTTCCGACATGAAAAGATCCTGAAAACGGGACTGCATAATTTCTAATAAGCATTGTTTATACATAAACCACTTCGAAATTTTTGTTGCATATACATTTAAAGTAGATATTCTTTGATTTTAAAAACAAATTTCATTTTCATTATTGCAAAGTTGAAACTTTGATTCGAAAAGGTTATCAAAATTCAATGCTTGGAAACATTCGAAGTAATGCTTATTATAAATTACAAAACGCCTAAATATAGCCCCGGCATAGCACCCGAAGAGCTCTCCGAACGCTGCTAAGTATCATTTGAGGTGTTCACACTTGTACAAGCATTGCTTTTTAGTGGACCCCTCTGTTTCCAACATGTATTTCTTACATTTGTTTTAAATGCTTATAATTGATTTGTATCAATTGTTAATTGACATGAATAAATTTGAATTTGAATTTGAATGATTTGCACAAGCAGACGATGTCCCATGACAACTGACACATTTTCAGCGCCTGTTTTTCATCTTCTCTTGAGTTCTTTCTCTTACTTCACTACCGTCAAGCTAAATGTATAATCTACTGCCTCACTCTAAATGCCGCGCATGGTTATTATTTTGATGACAAATGCAGCGATACAAAAATAAAGGAATCTGTCGCTCGTAAACAAAAAAAGACGCCATTTTATATTCAGCTGCACACACCGCGGTATGTTCTCCGTGTTTTAAGAGGGAACAAATGCCATCCTTAATATCATTTCGGTTTTTTTTTTCAATTTGAAAGTCTGGTTTCTTTGATTATTCATTAACCCCTATCCTGTGTATTTACAAGCAAAATATTTTAGTTATCAGAATCGGGTCATAACCCCTTTTGCATGGTTTGAAATGCCATTACATTTAACTACACTAAACTCATTATATTTTGAGAAATAATAGCTTTGCAATTATGTTCATTCTTTATGGGATGTCGTCTGCTTGGGCAGTATTGGTCCATATAGTGATGTCATTAAAACATCGTTATTTTTCCGACGAGTCTCTCGTATATCCAAGATGCTATGGAGGTGGTTGTATTTGTATTTTTATAAATTACCCGATGTGTAGTTCACCTAAAACTTGTACGATGGCCATCTGTTAGCTTACCAGTTTCTAGTGATACATTATTTGACATATTTGTGATTTTCTTTGAATTTCGACTTAAAGAAATAAATCAAAATTCGGTTTATTATTAATGCAATGATACAGTAATTGTTAATGAAAATTCGATAATAAAATTTCCTCACTTCAATTCTATTGTTAGCTTCATTACGTATGACACGCTAAGCTACCCATTAGCATCGTAAAAATAACAACTTCAATCATTAACAACAATCTAACAATAAGCATCAAAACACTCAGCATTCAAAGAAACGAACTTTTTATTTACTTCTTTACTTTTTCCTAACAGAACTATTAGACTACAATTTTACTTCACATCCCTTTTATATACACTAACATGTTGGGCAAAATATGGTGATTTGAAAATAGAACTATAATGTTCATACTTTTTTGAAAAAAGCTGTTATTTTTATTACTGGTTTTCCGGCTAATTTCGATGCCTTTTCAGTCTATTTGATAAAACGTTCATTCAATAGGTCATTTTCGTAATGTCATCAAATTAAGGCATAAGTCTTGGTTAGTTGTCTCATTACGAATTATTTCATTCAACTGTTACGAAAAAATGTGTTTGAAGAGCCAGAATTCAAACTGCATACATAAGTCTTTGCTATGTAGGACAAATGTTGACTTGCCTTACCTAACAACACGAAATAGGACAATCAATTAGATAGGTAAATTTACGAAATTGGCCGGAAAACCCATGATATAATTAGCAACCTTTTATACACGTAGGCACAACATGCACAAGGAGAAAACAAAAATTTTCATTAACAAGGATTTTTCAATATTTTTGCATAACGCGATTGTTATTTTGTTCGGTTCCCCCTAGCACAACATTTTAGACAGCCAAAAAATATAAATAATCCGATTTTACCTCAACAACATAAATAACACCACACCATCGAATCTCATATCAATATCGCTTTACATAGCTAACTATGAAACTATATATCAAATGTTTTATTGTCATGGTAATAAGATTCCATGTTTTATTATTATTATTATTATTATTATTATTTATTCGGCAATTCACAAGAAATATAACGATGTGAATAAGAGAAAACAAACATTAAGATAATGTCAATTATAAATGCACAATCTAGGCTGGAGGTCCATTGAGTGCATCAGTTGGCTGCCGGGGAAGAGGAAAGCAAACTTAATCACTGTAACCTAATAGTCCCTCTTCCCGACCAACTGGTGCACCCAGAAGACCTGAAAAATATAGCATGAAGGTAATAGAATGTATTGCATTTCATTAAAAACAGCTAAAAAAGACAAGGCACAAGGAGGAAATCAATTGTTTTATTTATTTTTTTATTTTTGATGACACTAGGTCATGACACGATACTAAACATAAACATGAGGAATTAATTCTGACTTAAAAACTATTGCATGAAATGTCAAGTAGGTAAACTGAAACCATGTAGTATAAAACTGAGAAAAGAACAAAATATGAGAACATGTAGGAGCGCAATGACAAGAATGTCTAAAATCATACAGGTTGACCGGTATATAGAAGTTTAAAAAACATGGTATAGGAAGTAAATATAAACATAGGCTTCGTAGGCTTCAGGCGAGTAATTAAAGACACTAGGAGAACGAATACATTAAAGAAAAAATACTTCATATTTTATATTATAGTATACAAATAATTTATAAAGAAACTCCGTTGAAAATATCCAGAAGATGTTTAAAGACTGGAGAAAAAAAAGACTCCAGAGACATAACAATGATTAAATCAAAATTATAGCTTCGGCTCAGAAATGTTATAGAGAAGTAGACAAATAAATGATTACAAAACATACCGTAATTATTACATTAACCTTTCGTAAATTGAATTAAACAACAAGTTCAAAAGAAAAAGTTAATCAAAGAACTCAAACTGAATAAAAACGCTAAATAATTAAACCTCCAATCAAAATCATGAAAAGATTACCGTACAAACAACTACTGCATAACACTAATTGCAACAAATATGTTGTTTTTTATGATACAATGTCTTTATTCGCTTTCTAAAGACTTTGGAAATATTGTCACCAGTAAGCATCATCACCGCATAGTGAATTTAATTAAACAAATCCTTTTAGGTAGGCCTACCAACTTATATAGTAAATCCGGGTGTTGCGTGACAAATGTAGATCAATGTCTTTAAAGAGGACATCATTGCTTTGTAGGAGCTCGTACCCGCAACCTTCATATGCTCAATCACGTATTTGAGGTACTCATTTAGGGCACCTCTTATAAGGACGTGGTGTTACTGCTTAGGCCTTAGGTTGAGTGACTAGAGACACCGGCTTGGTTTTGTGTTGGACCTACTGGAGCTGGAGCGACTCGGATCAACCTCATACCAGGCTTAGCTGCACTTCCCTGACAAAACAAGATGGTAGATAACAAAACAAAAATGGTAGAAAACAAAACAAAATGGTAGATAACAAAACAAAATGGTAGAAAACATAAATAAAATTAAAAAAGTAATATCTCCCCCCCCCCCCCGCCAAAAAAAGAAGAAGAAGAAGAGAGGTAGAAAGTAACCATATATGATTGCAATAAAAATTAAAATGCATATTATTAGATCCTGAATACTAAAACAATAATAATACTATAAAAGAACACGACACCTCTACACACGTTTGTTTGTGAATATAACAATTTTACATTTGAATGTAGCCAACATATTTTCAACATTGCCAATTTTCACACATTCAATTTGGGGAGCAGCATTTCACTGGACAAACGCCTTTGTTTACAAAACGTCGTTATTCATTCGCCCCAACAAACTCATGAGAGAAGTGCCACAAGACAATGGGGCCGTGTCATTTCAGTTAAAATTGTACAAACAAAGATTCTCATACCAGCACAATAATAATTCATGCGAAAGATAACATTTCGAGGCTCATGAATAAGATTAATGAGACTTTAAATTTCCCAATATTTTTCCCCTCTTTCTTGCACTTTCAGTTAACACTGTAAAAACAATGATTCTCATACCAGCACACTAATTCACGCGAAAGATAACATTTTGAGGCTCATGAAAAACATTAATCAGACTAAAATTTTCCCAGTATTATTTCCCTCTTGCTAGCATCATCACGTATAACAGACGCCCCCCCCCCAGAAAAAAATAAATACAAATTATGTTCGATGCGCGATTTGTTCGAATCAGAATCGAGCGGTTACACACATGCGCGTACAAAAACACTTGGCAGATATATGCTATTATTGCAATAGAAAGAAAAAAATATAATTATTGCATAATTAGATAAAGTGTAAAATTAAACTTCATTTACTTCAGTTGTTGAAACTGAACTGGGATTGGTGATCGAAGCCCTGCTTTCACGAGATTTGCGAACATGCTCTCTGATGGCGTTTCGAACCTGTTGTAATAATACAAAATCACAATAATAGAGACTCTCTGTTTGATTTCATGTTAAAGCCTAAATCGGAAGCGCCATATCGTGTGCACTGTCTGTCTTGCCTGTTTCGAGGAGTTGCAAATATTTACTGTAGACTATCGGACACTTGCAGTTTTGAAGAATTTCTTTCTTTAAATAGGCGGTTGGGAGATCAATATTCGAATATTATTTTTTATATAGCCTACTTATAATACAAAATCCACGATGAAATTAACTTGCCTTTATACACTAAACACGAATTACAAGCAGCATATTGTGGGGCGTAAGGTTTACACTTTTGCCTGTTGCATCATAGCTATCCTTTCTCTACGATAAGGCCCATCTTTACTTCTTTACAGAGCAAATTCCCCGAAATAAAATTTTCTGGAATGTCTGATGCCAGCTATGATTTCATTACATACCTCCGAATTGAGAAAGCAATAGAGCCATGCGACGAAGAACCCCTGCAAGGATACAACAGAAATTATCTACGTTAGTACGAAACATGCAAAACCCTCAACTTAGATATGAACGTCTCGTAGTAGTAAAACAAAATTGAAAAATACAAGTAAAAATGTTGAAGACACATATGCCCGTGCATGGTTAAAATCATATTTGAGTACTGATAAGACCATTACATTAAGAAGGCAGAAATTATCTAGGACCTAATGTGCGTTGATTGCCTGTGAGGCTTTTGAAAATAACAAACGAAAAATTCTTGTCAGATGGACAATCATTGCACACAAACATGGTACGGCACTACAGAAATTAGTAGGATCAATCTTTGGTCCAAAGATATGATACATTTGTTTTTTTGGAATTTGAGAGAAATGACGTAACATTTTCGACATGATATTTTCTCTTATTGTGAAATGGTATGTTGAATATTTCAAATTATTTGTTTTCACTTCTACAGAGCCAAAGAGCTCAACCTTCTCTTGAAAGAAAAAGGTAGGGTTATCTTCGTTTTATTGGCCCCGCCCTCTCTCTCTTTCTTTTAGTGCTCATTTTGTTTACATTAGAAATCAAAATCATCATAACACTGACATCATAGTGATTACTACGCCAAGTTATCTCTGATAACCTATATAAGATACCTGAAGAGAATTGAGCAGGTTGAAGGTGTATTCCAACGCCTTGACGTGAGGGAAAACTGCCACTACAGGTGTCAATATCCAAGCGATACCAAGCAGGGGGAAGAGCAACAAAGTGCTCCGAAGTCCAGCTCTGAAAAGTAGTGACAAAATAATTTACACAGTGATTTTACATATATATTACAAAAAACCATCGGAACCCACCTATCCAAATCGAGACACAAGTTTAAGACCATATCCGAACTGAAAAATGAAATGGATGAATTGTATATCAGCGGAAAACTTATAAGCCACAGATTATAATAATATCAATTATATGCAATTCGTCCTTGTTTTCACGAAGTGACGGTAGTGAGGAAAATCGTCACGCAAAGTAAATGCAATTTTTTGTTCACTACCGTCACTTCGTGAAAACAGCGACGAATTTTAGTGTCTGTCAGATGAGTATGAGCTCTCTGAAAACTCGAAAACTAAAGCTTTGAAAATCGGAAGATATCGACCTAAAAAACTTGCCATCGACTTGATGACATCATTTTATGCAGAGTACGCCTATTCACAATGGCTTTGCATTAATTAAGCCTCAGCAATAAAGGTGAACAGATGGGTTGCACATGTTATGTCGTCACTGTAATTTCGGGAAATTTGACCCCTGTTGACCCTTCATTTGGAGGGGTGTGAAAAATGAGGTTATAATTTATTTTTGTGCAATAATGAAAGATAAGTTTATATTCTACATTCATTCAGTTTTCCGTTTATATCAAGTTGTATTTTCATCGGATAAGGTCTTTCAAATAGTACCCACACACACCTATCGAAACCCACGCATACACACATATGCTAACCCACACACATATAACCAAAACCACACACATATACACACCAGGCACGTAGCCAGAGTTCGATGTTTGGGGGGCACATACATGTAATCGATCGAGGTAAAAAAAAAAGGGATCTTAAAAAGTTCAACCGATCTTGGAAATTTAAGGGGGCACGTGCCCCCCCCCCCCCCCGTGGCTACGTGCCTGATACACACACTCACACACACAAACCGACTCACACGGTCACACCCTTCCAAACCCACATGAATCTATTAACACACTCACACACATTCGTCAACCCCTAATGAGCCAATATCCAATGGATATCAAGCAATCCGAGGAGAAACGGAGGGCTCCAAAGATCAGCTCTGAATAAAAACAAAATGATTTGGCAAAATTACATGAAGAAAGAATTTAGAACTGAATATAGAGGCGTAAGCCTGCGTTCATAATAATTCATAAGTAAGTATAGATAATTTAGAGGATTTACTCCGAAAAAAAACACTGACGTAATCGAGACAAAAGGTAACGCAAGAACATATCGTAAATGAAAACATTTCTTAAAATGTAATTAGGTTATTACTTGATTTGCTTGATCTTATCGTTGTCGAGTTGACCTCGAGATGCAGACACAACTGTCTTTACAACCAGTAGGAGAATAACTACGTTGACCTAGAAGTGGAAATAAATAATACATTTTAAATAATTTTCCTGCTAATGATAAAATTATAATAATATATATATATGTTTTATTGCAGACACAAGGCAAGCTTCTAACGTTAAATTTTTAGTATTAAGGACTGTTAACTTGTTTTTCTTTTACCGACGATCATGCTTAGGATAAAATTGTATTCAGATATCACGATGCGACGATATAAAAAAAACGTATGCCTCAAAATTCAAAACATGCATAAAATATAAAAATGAACGAGATTTATATTTCGATTAAATATATGCCTTTTTCCTTTGAAAAAAATCTCCTTTACTCACTGAGCAATAAGTGTTGCAATCAAACAGAGATAACGAGCATTTTGCTACATTGAACTTCTATTTTATAATGTAAACTCATGGTTTTAAGTGCGCATTTGCAGTACTTCCACAGTTTGTTTTTTACGTAGTATATATTAAAATACGGCGGGGTAAAATATAACATTTTTGTTATTTGAAAAGTTGCAGCTGGTGATTGAAAGAGCTGCTTAGTTTCAATTGAGAGGAAAATTGTAGACTTTGTTTAAGAGTGCTGTATTTGTACAATTTAAAATGCAAAGTTGAACCATTATAAAAGGGAGCTATAATTTTACGATTTATTAGCTGCTATTTTCTGTTGGAGTGCAAACTGTTATAGGGCCCCGCTCACAAGCTTAGCTTCTAAAGGGGTCCTGAAACCATTCAGTTAATGATATAATCAAGTTAGAATATGTTGATTGATGTACTATTACCAGTCTCTTTTTTAAGTAACAGATTATGTCATGCTTTGTGTGGTTTTGAATAAAATGAACTGAACTGAACTGAAACGTGAGCCCTATCTGAGAGTGCAGCTGCTATATGTTCGTTTGAAACGTAAAAGGACAACCAACCGTTGTAATTACTTTACTTGTATAATGACAGAAAATATGAGAAACTGAATGGCTAAAGTGATATAAATTAAACCAATAAGATAGGAATTATTAATGTATGACATATGATATTAATCAATCTATGCAAATCTCAAATTCGATATTTCTTCCCTGGATTGTGACGTAGCATTTAAAAGCTCACTCATTAGTCGTGTAAACAAAATTAAAATCAATTTCTGTTTTTTGTGTGTCAGATGCCTTTTCCTTTGGGGCACTAGTCAAAATATATCATGGGTTACATACTCTTTATCATACACTAATGAAATAAATTGACACTTTAGAAACTTTTCGTATTGAAAAAATAGAGGAAAATTATCCGCCACTACACCACAGTCACATGACTGCCATTTTAAACTTCCAATGCGTCTAGCGATAACAACTTTAAAATATCAAGACTTTCTTCTTTTTCGTTCGATTTCTTACAAACTTTTACCGGTCTGGATCTCTGATATGTTTCCATTACTGTATACTAGTTGTATGTTGAGGTTGGATTTTTTTTTAAAAATCTATAGTGAAGAACGTCGTGCCAAACAACAAGATAATGTGGAAAACATTATTCTAATCTTCTCTTATCGGTATTTTGGAGGAAATTACCCAAATCATATTTAAAGGTTAATCATAATACTAATATAAAGGCTTTTCAAGCTTCCGTTCGACCCAAAATAAAAAATAAAGAATAAAAACACCGCATACTAACCCCCCCCCCCCCCCCCCAAAAAAAAAAAAAAAATTTAAAAAAAATAAAATAAAAAAAAATAAATTTAAAAAAAATTAAAAAAATAAAATAAAAAAATAAATAACAGATCGCACACTATTACGAGTTTCTTACGAGTACGATTGCTATAGCCGGGCCAGTGAATGCCCAGATTGTCCCATCTGTTGGATTCAGCCAGCAACTGTATTTTAAATTGGAAGATAAAGATAAAACTTTTACTTCAATTATGCAAAGTTTAAATTGATTGCATTCATTTTGGGTACCTTTGTAAATATTTGTCACTTGAACTATAATATTACAAGGCAACTTATTTCCGTGGACTAATATATATTATATTGATAATAATAATTTTTCAATAAATTATACTCACCTTCGTTCATAGCCATAGCTTTGATGCTTTAGGCCTCCAGTTATGATGAGTATCACGGCTGGACCACCTTCAAAAGAAGGAAATAGTATGGTATATTGCAAATGGCGGATGTGATACTTTGATTATATACATGTAGGTTAAATTAAAGCCAAGCTATATTACTTTAACAACCAAATCACTTTAAGGATGCATTATTAGCTTAGTTTTAAGTAGCAATGGGTTTTGATTTGCCTCTAGCAGCGTTGTCTAGTAAAACCGCCTTTCATTTGAACTTACCCCACCGTAAAATGCCATAAAACAGATTCGAATATCTGAATTGTACAGTGCGTCCCAAAAGAAATAAAACCGAGAGTTATCAATGTTTTATCATAAAGTAATGACAATTTTATTTAATAAATGACACATATTTGTAAAGCTTAGACCTTTCTCTTTCTTTTGATGCAACTCATATGATGCATATTTCACGCATGAGGGATTAAAACAATTTAAAGACAGAGAGTACCAAAAGGTCGTTTGGCGGGCGGTATCTGAATTCCAAACAGAAAATCATTTTCTAGAAAGTTCATTTTCTGTTTTTTAAAATGAGACCTCGAGCGGAAGAAGTTATGCTACGTTTACACTATGTTCCCGGCGGCCACGGCAGCCCCGTTTGCCCGAAACGTAGTGCGCCGTGGGATTTAGACCAATTTTATCTCTGGATTCAAGTTTTGTTAAAGGCCCGGTCACACAGAGGGGACGCATGGGGGACGCACGGCCGGCGCATGGAAAATTTGCAATTTTGGCCAGTGCGTTGTCGTGCGCCCAACTTTTGTCGAAGCTATACAGCTAGCTGACACCAAATGCATAGCGCGCTGGACGCATACAGGGCGTATACAGGGCGCACACAGGGCGCACACAGGGCGCACACAGAGCGCACATGAAAACAACTTCCACGAATGCACAGCGTGTTGCTAGCGCGCTGGACGAATGATCCACGCATGCACCGCGTTCTACGACGCACGGCCAGCGCATTGGAAATCGGAAAAGAACGTGTGCCTAACTTTTGTCATAATTTTGGAAAAGCTAGCGAGCTGACACAAAATGCACGGCGTGTAGCTAGCGCGCTGTGCGTATACAGGGCGTGTGCTCCGCGTTTGTCTGGCGCTGGTCTAGCGCGCTCCACGCATGTCTGGCGCTGGTCTAGCGCGCTCCGGCGCATGTCTGGCGTGCCTTTGGCGTGTATATTCATGCGTCGAGCTCGGCGCACGTTTTTGAGCATGCTCAAAAAATCCCGACGCACACAGCGAATGACGACGCATGCATAGCGCTGGTCCAGCGTTGGTCCAGCGCGCTCGACGAACGAGTTAAGGCCCGGTCACACAGAGGTGACGCATGGGGAACGCACGGCCAGCGCATTGGAAATTTGCAATTTTGGCCAGTGCGTTGTCGTGCGCCCAACTTTTGTCGTAGCTGACACCAAATTCATAGCGTGTTGCTAGCGCGCTGAGCGCATACAGGGCGCATACAGTGCGCATACAGACCGTACCCAGAGCGCACATGATAACAACTTCCACGAATTCACAGCGTGTTGCTAGCGCGCTGGACGAATGGTCCACGCATGCACCGCGTTCTACGACGCACGGCCAGCGCATTGGAAAACTTTTGTCATGATTTTGGAAAAGCTAGCGAGCTGACACAAAATGCACAGCGTGTAGCTAGCGCGCTGTGCGTATACAGGACGTGTGCTCCACGTATGTCTAGCGCTGGTCTAGCGCGCTCAACGCACGTCTGGCGCTGGTCTAGCGCGCTCAACGCACGTCTGGCGTGCCTTTGGCGTGTACATTCATGCGTCGAGCTCCGCGCTCACTTTTGAGCATGCTCAAAAAATCCCGACGCACACAGCGAATGACGACGAATGCATAGCGCTGGTCCAGCGTTGGTCCAGCGCGCTCGACGAACGAGTAACGAGTGATGACGCACGCCTAGCGAACGACAACGCACTGGCCAAAATTGCAAATTTTCCATGCGCCGGCCGTGCGTCCCCCATGCGTCCCCTCTGTGTGACCGGGCCTTAACGAATGATGACGCACGCCTAGCGAACGACAACGCACTGGCCCAAATTGCAAATTTCCAATGCGCTGGCCGTGCGTTCCCCATGCGTCCTCCCTGTGTGACCGGGCCTTGAGGCCCGGTCACTCAGAGGAGACGCATGGAGAACGCACGGCCAGCGCTCTGGAAATTTTCATTTTTGGCCAGTGCTTTGTCGTGCGCCCAACTTTTCTCGAAGCTACAACGAGCTTGACACCAGATGCATAGCGTGTTGATAGCGCCCTGAGCGCATACAAGGCGCATACAGACCGTACACACAGCGCACATGATAATAACTTCCACGAATGCACAGCGTGTTGCTAGCGCGCTGGACGAATGGTCCACGCATGCACCGCGTTCTCAACAAAGGTGGTCACACATAGACGACGCACGGCCGGCGCATTGGAAATCGGAAAAAAGGCCGCGTGCCTAAAGGCCCGGTCACACAGAGGGGACGCGTGCGGAACGCACGGCCAGCGCATTGGAAATTTGCAATTTTGGCCAGTGCGTTGTCGTGCGCCTAACTTTTGTCGAAGCTACAGCGAACTGACACCAAATACATAACGTGTTGCTAGCGCGCTGAGCGCAAACAGGGCGCATACAGTGCGCATACAGACCGTACACAGAGCGCACATGACAACAACTTCCACGAATGCACAGCGTGTTGCTAGCGCGCTGGACGAATGGTCCACGCATGCACCGCGTTCTCAACAGAGGTGGTCACACATAGACGACGCACGGCCCGCTCATTGGAAATCGAAAAAGGCCGTGTGCCTAACTTTTGTCATGATTTTGGAAAAGCTAGCCAGCTGACACAAAATGCACAGCGTGTAGCTAGCGCGCTGTGCGTATACAGGGCGTGTGCTCCACGTATGTCTTGCGCAGGTCTAGCGCGCTCCACGCATGTCTGGCGTGCCTTTGGCGTGTACAAATCCCGACGCACACAGCGAATGACGACGAATGCATAGCATGGGTCCAGCGCGCTCGACGAACAAGTAACGAATGATGACGCACGCCTAGCGAACGACAACGCACTAGCCCAAATTGCAAATTTGCAATGCACTGGCCGTGCGTCAGCCAAGTTTTCTGACGATCTACCACGGTATCCGTGAAGGGCCGTGGGGGGGGGGGGATGCTGAGTCCCGGAGGCTCCAAGGCGCACTACGGTTCGGCCCGCGCTCTACAACGGATGCCAGACCGTTCCCTCCCGGCTCGTCACGTTCTGATGAATACCTCACGTTCTGATGGGGTCCCTCACGTTTCTCACTTTCTGATCAAGTTCTGACACATTTTTCACGTTCTGTCAAGGCTTTCTACGGATGAAACGTGGACGCCGGGCAGCTTTGGAGCACGATTATGCCCACGGTATAAAAAGAAGCACTACTGGTGGTGATGGTGGTGGTGCAGGACGGAGGGCCTTCGAACGTCTTGGCTTCTTTGGTGGCATAGCTTGACCTTGTTTCTTCGTTTTGTAGATGCAGTAATGTGTCGTCGATTGCTCAGGCTTGAATGGAGCTCCTGCCGCGCTAGTCTTGTATATACTGCCTCCCGACCGCGTGCGCCGTGTCAGATCGAACGCAACGCCACGCCCGTAAACCGTCAGACGCCCGGGCTGCGCAGTAATTAAACGCGATAAAAAGGCTACCATACACCCTGGCCTGCCGTGAGAATCCTGGAAAACCGTGGCAAACCGTGGCAAACCGTGGCAAAACGGGACGAAATGCGCAGCAACTATGAAGGAACTGTGACAAAACGTGCACCAAACGTGGCAGAACGTGGCAAAACTTGAAAAGACCGTAAGATGCCAGGGAATATGCGGGCCTCCCGTCCCACTACGGACCACCTCCAAGTTTTTTTAAGGCTTACTATGTTTCCCATCGGCACCGTGACTGCCGTGGCAAATTTTTTGACAGTTTAAAATCTGACACGGTATCCACGGCAATCACGGCCTGTCACGTTTGCCCATACGGTCCCCCGTTTCGTCCACGGTGGCCTGAAACGTGATTGCCGTGGCCGCCGGGAACATAGTGTAACGTAGCATTAACCAGTTGACTTTAAAGTAATGCTTGCATTTCCATGATTTGATTGAACGAATTCGTTTTTTACTGGCTCCCTGCCGTAGCAACAAACAGAGTTGACCAAGGACTTAACTCCGTTTCCTTAACCATCAGCCACGCATCATGTCTTTCGTCTTTTTTGTGCATGGCTGATCGTCAACGAAACGGAGTTCAGTTTTTAATGCAGAATGCAGAGTTTGATGCAGAAATATGGCACCATATAAATGATGTGAGTGATAATCATCAACTTACCCCATCCTAAGATTCCATAAACCCAAGTTCGAGGATTACCAGAGTCAAAAACTTGGATGATCTGACGATAGAGGTGTACACCTTCGACGAGCATCCAGAACATCATTGCTAGGGAGAAGTAGTGCAGGATGAAGGCATATGCCTTGCATGCATACTATACAAGGGGTTCACATAAGAGATAAGATATAATGCGGGCAGAATTGAGACGCATAAATATGTACAAAACTATCTTAGATTTGTTAAATTCCTTGAATCATTTGAATAAACTAGAAAATGATTGCAAGGAGGAGTCATAAGGGCTGTAACGAAACCCATGGCCATGACGTCCCTTTCTTTAAGGAATTGTTGGGAGCAATATAGCGATGATAAAATAGACAAGTGTATTTTTTCCAAAATGTATACTATGTCCTACTTTTTTGTATAGTTC